TCTGGTGGTCTGCATTGTGCATTCTGGTGCCATTTGTTTACCACGCACATGCACCCGGGCATCCACCTGATCTGAAAGAAAACATGATTCACCAGACCAGTCAACCTTCTTCCATTGCTCTATGTTCCAGTTCTGATGCTCACGTACCCATTAAAGACATGTTCATTGGTGGATAGGGGTCATCATGGGCACTCTGACAGATCTGAGGCTATGCAGCCCCATACACGCTGCAATGCACTTTGCAAGCATATATATATATATGTATACCCCTGAAGGCTCCCACTGTGGTATAGTGAAGAGCAAACCTAGGAGACTCCAAGTTCCACCTCCAATAGTGTTCTCTCCACTACACACATACTCTGCATCCATAACACACTACAGACTGCAGTCACTACAAACACTCTGCATGCCCTTTACACAGAACACTTTGTGTTCTGACACCTTTCTACGATGACCCACATTAAGTTTTTAAGCAATTTGAGTTTAATAGCTTTTCTGTGTGATCGGACTAGCTAGCTTTCGCTCCCCACATACATCAATGAGCTATGCGCATCCATGACCCTGATGCCGGTTCACGAGTTGTCCTTCCTTGCACCACTTTTGGTAGGTACCAACCACTGCATACCAGTAACACCTCACAAGACTTGCCATTTTGGAGATGCTATGACCCAGTCATCTAGCTATCACTATTTGGTCCTTGTCAAAGTCGCTCTTTTCACTTGCCCATTTCAACTGCTTCGAACACACAAACTGATGGTTCACTTGTTGTCTAATTTATCCCACACCTTGACAGGTGTTATTCACTACACCTGTCAGTGGCTTTGATGTTCTGGCTGATCAGTGTATACAATGCTACATGCACAGTAAGACATAGTACACACATAGTAAGTCATTTTCAGGGAATTTTTCCCTTCAAAAGTTATTTTCCCGATCACTTCCTGTGATTTTACATAACTTCTGGGGTCATCATATTCTATGATGTCACCCACATATAATAAATCATGCAAATTAGAATGGCCAGTATTTGTATGTTGGGGATGTGTGGTGGGTTGAGTGACAGTATGTGGGGAGTCTGTGTTAGTCACCCCACGTAGTAAAGCCTTTTATGTATTTTTCTGACATTTGCCCACAGGCTGCTTACCTCTTGTGCAGTAAGGAGGCAATAATACATCCCCTGGTGATTCAGTGGGCTCCCTGTGGGGGAGCCACAGGCCTTCCGGTCCAGTTGAGAAACCTTGTGTCTGCTCTCTGACTCCCTCACAGATGGTCAGAATCATGAGGGTCTGCAATTACACCAGGTACCAGCAGGGAGGCATTTTTAAAGAGCCAACAGGGACATATTTTGATCTCCATGCTGTCTCGAGGGGGAAATCTAGGTATTTAGGTATGAATCGGCATGGCTAGAAAGAAGTGTATAATCTCTGCTTTAGACAGGGACCCACATTCATTGTTTAACTGCTCGAAAAATGTTTTTTTTTATCAATGAGACTCCTGTCACTATAACCAATTCAATGAGATGAAATAGTTATAGTGCCTACTGTGTCCCTTTAAGGAGAACAATGAATATGGAAAGAGAATAGAACAAGAGGTGTATACCCAGTACAGTCTGAGTGTCAAATGAGTCATTTTTCATAAGTGGTTTTTACCAACAGACCAAAGTACCTGCCCAAATTGCACAACTTCCCTCTTACAAACAGTGATTCATCAAGGGTCCTCTGTTCATTTACATTTAATTTAACAGCTAGGCTATTAGACAGGCTATAGTAGGAACTGGACTAAGCACTTACTACTTGTGATTATATTGTATGTTACATATTAAATACTTGGGATTGTATTATAAAACACATGGTACCAGTGATCAAATTGTATGTGGAGATGGCACAGTGGTTAATAAACCAGCTGCAATATGTGATAAACTTAATACACCCTGTTTGGTGAATAATAACATTTTTAATCCAGGGTATTATTTGGGCAATCACAAAAACTAACTGTATCTTACCGGGTAAAACTCTTTGACATCTTTAGCCTTATATATGAGGAAAATACGTACCAGGACTGAAACATCGACCAGATGTTACTTCTTCTTATTATTATTGCCATTTATATAGTGCCAACAGATTCCGTAGCACTTTACAATATTATGAGAGGGGGGATTTAGCTATAAATAGGACAATTACAAGAAAATTTACAGGAACGATAGGTTGAAGAGGACCCTGTTCAAACAAGCTTACATTCTATAGGAGGTGGGTTATAAAACACATTAGGACAGGAAATGGCAGTCAAATAAGGTGGGAGTGAAGCAGATCTGGAGGAGAGAGTAGAGTGCTGCCCTTTAGGAGATAGCAAGAGACAGGTATGTGAGGTAGAGGTTACTCTGGGAGGCCATAAGCTTTCCTAAAGAGATGGGTTTTTAAGCACTTCTTAAACGATTGAAGACTAGGGGAGAGTCTGATGGCCGTAGGCAGGCTATTCCATAGGAAGGGAGCCGCCCGCAAGAAGTCCTGCAAGCGTGAGTAGGCCGTACGGGTGCAAGCAGCGGACAAGAGAAGGTCACAGGCAGAGTGGAGAGACTGCAAAGGTGCATACCTATGGATCTGTGAAGAGATGTAAGAGGGGCTAGAATTGGTCAGTGCTTTATAGGTATGGGTTATCATTTTGAATTGACTCCTATAGAATACAGGAAGCCAATGTAAGGACTGAGGGGTGAGGTGTGAGAGGACAGACTAGAGAGGAAAATCAGTCTGGCGGCAGCATTCATTACAGACTGTAGCGGGGCAATACGGCTTTTTGGAAGACCAATTAGGAGAGGGTTGCAATTATTCATGCAGGAAATTACTAGAGCTTGGACAAGCTCCTTGCTAGCATCTTGCGTAAGATAGAACCTACAGGATTTGGCAACATACTGGATGTGAGCGAAGGTGAGGCCAGAATCAAGTATGACGCCAAGACAGCGCGCTTGCAAGGATGGACTTATGTGGATACAACTAATATGAAGAGAGAGCGAAAGAGGAGGATCAGTATTAGGAGGAGGAAAGACAAGGAGCTAAGTTTTAGAGAGATTGAGTTACAGAAAGCGGGAGGACATACAGTCAGAGTTGGAAGAAAGGCAAGCAGTGACACGTTGCAGGACTGCAGGGGGGAGCAGAGATATATCTGGATGTCATCAGCGTACAGGTGGTAGTGGAATCCAAAAGAGGTAATAAGTTTGCCAAGAGAGGCAGTATAAAGAGAAAATAGAAGGGGACCACGGACAGAGCCTTGGGGTACTCCAACTGAGACTGGACAATGGGAGGAGGTATTCACCGGACCACCAGGGTTTGCCTTGTACTGTCCCCCAAGGAGGGATATAAAAAAATTGTGTTTTTTTAAATAAAAGAAAACATTTGTATTGATTAATCTCCCCTCCTACCTCCAAAAACCCACAATAACTCTCCCCATATACACACACTACATCCACCATAAACATAATGCAGCCCCGTACACACATTGCACCCCTCACACAAACACAATGCACACACACACACCCTAGTACAGCCACTATCCTGGCAGACCCCAAGTAAGTTGTCAAACTGTTCTTAAATACTTTGACTACTTACCCTGGGAGGGCACCACGGTACCCCTGGCACCATAACCACTACAGAGTGCTGTAGTGGTTATTGTGCCTGGATTGCTTCTTTAAATAATATACCAGTGCCCCTCCCGAGATTAGGTTCTGGAATCATCCCTGACAGAAAAACATTTCTAATATATGCCATAGCGCTATACATGTATACAACCTAGACATTTGTTTTGACTTGGGGTGCCTTGGAAAATATTGTAATATTAAGGGCGCCTTGAACCTAAAAAGTTTGGGAACAATTGCTCTATGACATTATTTTTAATTTGATTTTTTTTCTTATTTACAGCCAAGAGTATAGTCAATGTGGACATTTTGTCAATTTAAAGGACCACTATAGTGCCAGGAAAACATACTCGTTTTCCTGGCACTATAGTGCCCTGAGGGTGCCCCCACCCTCAGGGACCCCCTCCCGCCCGGCTCTGGAAGAGGGAAAGGGGTTTAAACTTACCTTTTTCCAGCGCTGGGCGGAGAGCTCTCCTCCTCCTGGGCTGAATGCGCACGCGCGGCAAGAGCTACGCGCGCATTCAGCCGGTCACATAGGAAAGCATTCATAATGCTTTCCTATGGACGCTGGCGTGCTCTTACTGTGAAAATCACAGTGAGAAGCACACAAGCGCCTCTAGTGGCTGTCAATGAGACAGCCACTAGAGGATTAGGGGGAAGGCTTAACCCATTCATAAACATAGCAGTTTCTCTGAAACTGCTATGTTTATGAAAAAATGGGTTAACCCTAGCTGGACCTGGCACCCAGACCACTTCATTCAGCTGAAGTGGTCTGGGTGCCTAGAGTGGTCCTTTAATTTAAAGCTCTACAAGCTTTGCAAAACATATATCAGCCCTGAATTTTGTTGTCACACTACAATCAACGGTACATACAGTCACAATGCTCACTATTTAGTTCATACCATACACATAAGATATATTATTATATGTAATTCATTTTAGCAGTTACATGGCGCCAGCATATTCCACAGCACATTGCAATTATACAATGGGTTTATTAATGTTATTATTAGCATTTACATGGTGCCAACATATTCCAATTCAACAATTATAGAAAGGGGATATTAATTTTATTATTAACATTTACATAGCACGAACATATTCTGAAGCGCTTTACAATTATAAAATGGGGATACTTGACAAGTACATCACATACAGACAACAACAGAGACAAGAGTTGAAGAAGACACCTCTGTAACAAGCTTACAGCTGAAGAGAATTTTATTGTGCAGTAAATATAATGTGCTAATCTGTTCACACGTTTTACAATGTACATAAAAACAACATGGAGCTCTGCACAGGACCCGAGCTGACCTCACCCCCCACCCCCTTCCCTCATGTCCTGCGCACACACCATATCCGGGTATGGAGCTTCCCACGTGACTGTCAGAGCGGAAGGTGGGCGGGGCCAGTAGAAGCCACAGTTCCTGAGACCCCAGACAGCAGGTGAGAACTAGTGGGTGTGTGTGGATGGAAGCTGGGTGTTGCTATGGCGACAGTGGCCCTCTCCCTTTAACCCCTTGCGTGCTGTCTCCCGGTGGGGGCCACTGTCCAGTAGCTGTGTGACAGTGTGAGAGTGACTGACAGTGTGCTCCTCTTTCCTCCAGTATCACTTGTTACTGTGAGAGGGGCAGAGGGAGCCATGCAGAACGTCATCAACACCATGAAGGGCAAGGCCCTGGAGGTGGCAGAGTACCTGACCCCTGTCCTCAAGGTAGGTCTGGGTGGGCTCTAATAAAGGCTGTATTACTGGGCACTGCCTCACACACAGGGATATATGTACAGCCATGTAAGGGTGGTGATGGGGAACATTTGGTAATGCATCCTTTGTGGACTACGTTTCCCATAATGCTCAGCCAGCCAGATGGATAGCATAGTCCACAAACACTGCAGGGCTAAAGTTTAATAATTATACCTATCGCACAGCGCTGCGGAATCTGTTGGCGCTTTATAAAATATAATAATATGGACATCAAAAACGTACGCAAACTATCCAGACTGTGTTTTCCCTAATGCTCAGCCAGCCAAATGGGTAACATAGCCCACAAAAGCTGCAGGGTCTAAAAGACTAGCTTTCTGCATTTATGTAGGATTTTTCTCAGTTATTAAAGGATCACTGTAGTGTCAGGAAAACAAACCCGTTTCATGACACTATGTCATCCTTGGGGGACCCTCACCCTCAGAGGCCCCCTCTCGTGGCGCTGAAGGGGTTAAAACCCCTTCAGCAGCTTACCTTATTCTGGTGCTGGTGACCTCTCCTCCCCCGCCGATGTCAGCTCCCGAGTGGAGCGGAATGCGCATTCATGGCAAGAGCCGCGCGTGTATTCTAACAGTCCATAGGAAAGCATTTCTCAATGCTTTCCTATGGACGTTCTGCACGCTGGATGCGAATTTCGCGTCCAGCGTCTGGGAAGCGCCTCTAGCGGCTGTCAGAAAGACAGCCACTAGAGGTTGGATTAACCCTGCTATGTAAACATAGCAGTTTCTCTGAAACTGCTATGTTTACTTGTGAAGGGTTAAAAACTGAGGGACCTGGCACCCAGACCACTTAATTGAGCTGAAGTGGTCTGGGAAAGTGTCCCTTTACAGTTACTTGGATTCTGTATCGTTTGTGTACCTTTTTGATGTACATATAATTGTCTACTCATATATATATATATATATATCATCTTATTACAGAAAATACATTTGCTTAATGTGTATGAATGATTCACTTAAGTTCTACTATCAATGTAAAATTAGATTGTGAATGCACAATTGTTTTACTTTCTTTTCTTCCCATTCCTATGTAGTTTGAGATGAAGCTACATCTCCTCATGCTGAGCATGACGAAAAGTCGCCTAACCACCCTGAAGTCCCTATTGTGGCTGTCTGATAGACAGCCACTAGTGGTGGAGTTAACCCTGTAAGGTAATTATTGCAGTCTATCAGTAACTGCAGTAATTACAATTGCAGTGATAAGTGGACTCGGACAATGCAGCCAGACCACTTCAATGAGCTGAAGTGGTCTGCGTGCTCATAGTGTCCCTTTAACTAACATGGGTGTTTAGTAAAGTGAGAATTCAAAGATCATTTCAGTTAAAGGACCACTATAGTGCCAGGAAAACATACTCGTTTTCCTGGCACTGTAGTGCCCTGAGGGTGCCCCCACCCTCAGGGTCCCCCTCCCGCCCGGCTCTGGAAGGGGGAAAGGGTTAAAAACTTACCTTTTTCCAGCGCTGGGCGGAGAACTCTCCTCCTCCGATCCTCCTCTTCTCCTCCTCCTGGGCTGAATGCGCACGCGCGGCAAGAGCTGCGCGCGCATTCAGCCCGTCGCATAGGAAAGCATTTAGAATGCTTTCCTATGGACGCTTGCGTGCTCTCACTGTGAAAATCACAGTGAGAAGCACGCAAGCGCCTCTAGTGGCTGTCAATGAGACAGCCACTAGAGGATTAGGGGGAAGGCTTAACCCATTCATAAACATAGCAGTTTCTCTGAAACTGCTATGTTTATAAAAAAATGTGTTAACCCTAGAAGGACCTGGCACCCAGACCACTTCATTAAGCTGAAGTGGTCTGGGTGCCTAGAGTGGTCCTTTAATTGAAGTAGTCTGGGTGCTATAATGTTAAACATTGCAATTCCAGAGAACTGCAATATTTACATTGCAGCTCTAAGTCTGCTCTCTGTGGCTGTCTACCAAACAGCCATTAGAGGGCTCTCGGAATCGTAAGAGACTTTTGGTCCGTTATCTGACGCTAGACGTCCACGCTCTACATGAGGACATCCAGCGTCAGATTTTTCCCCATAGGAGAGCATTGAAAGTATGCACGTTAGACCCCGCTCGTTTCGGAACAGAGGAGGGGGCAGAGCTTCAACCCAGCACTGAGGGACATCGGCGCTGGGATCAGATAAGTAAATAAAGGGTTTTTAACCCTTTATTTACTGGGTGGGAGGGGGGAGGCAGAGGGATCGGTAGTGCCAGGAATACAGCTTTGTATTCCTGACACTACAGTATCCCTTTAAGGCCAGAGTAGGCAAACTGAAAGTATTGTTGACTCCAGTTTAGCTATTTTGACTTTAAAATTGAAATGTCTGCTTATCTTGACATGGTATGTAAATTACGGTACACGTCACTGTAGTAGACACTAAGGGAGAATTACAAGTTCTATGACAGTATTTTGTTTTTCTCTGTGTTTATTTTTTTTTTTTATTAGATTTATTTTTTTTCCTCTTTTCTAAGTTAATTGTTTTGCATTCCTAGAATTTAGCAGATGCCTACTGTCCAAATATTATGTATGCAGTTACCCACATATCTGGTTTTCTTAGGGGTGTATGTTAATGCAGGTATTTATAAGAATATTGTTTTCTTGTAAAAGAAGGTAGCTAGCAGTAAACTAGGGATCGACCAATATAATTTTTCCAGAGCTGAAACGATAACGATTATTTCCTTTTTGTGGGGGTAAACGAGGAGATGTATGGGAGGAGTTTGATGAACTGGTGTGGGGAGCTAGATGAGCTGGTGTGCAAGAGTGCTGGGATTTGATGAGCTGGTGTGCAAGAGTGCTGGGATTTGATGAGCTGGTGTGCAAGAGTGCTGGGATTTGATGAGCTGGTGTGCAAGAGTGCTGGGATTTGATGAGCTGGTGTGCAAGGGTGCAGGGATTTGATGAGCTGGTGTGCAAGGGTGCAGGGATTTGATGAGTTGGTGTGCAAGAGAGGGGGACAAGATGAGCAGGTGTGCAGGAGTGGGGTAGCTAGATGAACTGGTGTGCAGGAGTGGGGGGATTCGATGAGCTGGTGTTCATGAGTGTGGGGTGTAGATGAGCTGGTGTGCAGGAGTGGGGGGGGGGGGGGAGGGAGGTTGTAGAGATGCTGGAGTACGAGAGGGCAGTTATAGATGAGCTGGAGGGGATGGGTGTGGGGTGTAGATGAGCTGGTGTGCAGGAGTGGGGGGGGGATGTAGAGATGCTGGAGTACCGGAGTGGGCAGTTATAGATGAGCTGGAGGGGAGGGGTGTGGGGTGTAGATGAGCTGGTGTGCAAGAGTGGGGGGGTGTACATGAGCTAGTGTGCTGGTGTGGATGAGCAGACAGTTGGCTGAAGTTAACATATTTAGTCAGCAGCTTTTCCTAGGAAAAATTTGTTTATTTTCAAGAACTGGCCAAATCCCAGAATATTGATGTGTTTAAAGTTTCTCTATCATTGTGGAGTACTGAATACCTGGATATATCACCTAAAATCTGCAAATTAAAATAAATAAATGTTCCAAAATACATAACCACGGCATCTGTTGTATTGTTTATGGTGCCTTGCAGCCATCCTGATATAATTTGTCAAATCATTTTTAAGGGACCCTACTTGGGTCCCATGTGATTCTGCGCCACATCCAGTTTTCTTCTGTAGGAGAAACAGCATGTTTTAACAAATCAAAGTCTCTGAGCACTGGCGGGCCCAAATTTGAAACCGTTTGACTACTGGGATGACGCAGAGCACTCCAAGTGCCATAACCACTACAGCAGGCTTTAGGGTTATGGTGCTTTAATTAATTTAGCTTGGAAATTTGATTCCATTGGGAGAGTAGCTGAGTTGATATTTACTCTTAAAATCTTAGGGTTCTTTAAAATGTTGCAATGAGCATAAAAAAACGCAAAACTGAGAATGCACAGAATCAAGGGTTTCAGAAGGCCCAGCTGAACTGACAGTCCAGGACAGGGGTAGGCAGCCTTTTGGTAGTACTGTGCCAAAACAAGATCTTAAAGTCCCTTAGCGTGCCTGTCCTATTTTTGTTAAAATTGAGGTGTGCATGCTGCCATATACTGCTTTTATTTATGGGTGTTGCCGTTGCTCTGTAGCATTGTATTTGTGCGTTTGTGGACTGTTATATAGTATATGTTAATGAGTAATATGTAGTATTTTGTATGATACTTGTGAATGGGAGATTCTTGTGGAATTGTGTGTGTGTGTATCACTTTGTCACATAATGTATTTAGTGATGTGTGTACGTGTAGGGCTGCTTTTGGGGGTGTGCATATACATTTGTATGTGGATTGTCAGTGATGTTGTGTTTGTGGGGACTGTCTGTTTATGTGTGGGATGTTTGTATTATTTGTATGAGGGGAGACTTCTGCAGCTTTGTGTATATCTAGCAGTGTAGGTGACTTCTCTTGGGTCCAGTGGGGTCTGTGCTGCCCAGGTGCAGGTCAAGGGCAGAAGCTGTGATAGCTACTGCGGGCTACTTTACTACAGTGTGGATTCACGTTCACAAGTGCTTGGAGGAAGTGATCTGATGTTGATTTCCTCTAATTGCTGCAATGCCTAAATTGAGGATTGTCCCTCACCACCTGCCATCACCGTTCAGTTTGCACTAGCAGATATTTGAAGCACCACTAGGACTCCTGATACGCCCGAGCCTGTTTAGCTCTGGTAGCCATGGTGGCTGTGCATGGCACACGTTCCATAGGTTGCTGACCCCTGGTTTAGGAGGTGTATTTGTAGATAGTGCTTATCTCAATATCTCTCCCATTGAACTCTGGTGATTTGCAAGTGACTAATAAAAAGATTAGCCAAAAAATGTAAAGTGAAGGAAGGTGAGATAGATTTGATCTACCTTCTGAAGTTGTTGAACTTTGAACACTAAACTCCAAATTCTACCGCTTTAAAATCTAAATTGCAAAATTTAGGCAATTTAAAGCTAAGCTGTGCCTACAGCACGATAGAATAAATTTTACAGTTCGGCTATTTTATGCTCTCGAAAAAAAGATTGCTAGCCTTGCAATACCCAGGCACATGAAGCCTTTGCCTTGTGGAGTGTACTTTCAGTTTAAATAGAAGTATTTGGAAGTTTTCCCCATCAACCCTAACAGTACAACCTATTAGGAGTACTTTACTTCCATGCTGTTTGTGCATCTATGCGCAGTACAGAAGCAGCCTTAGCCAGGACTGACCTTTGGTAGCCAGGATTGACCTTTGAAGACTGACAGCAGTTTGCTTTGCCAGTGGGGCATGTGACATCTGCCTACTGCATCACTTTATCTGGCAGATGTATTCTAATCTTTATTTAAAATTAATTGCTGGTCTGTTCAAAGACAGTAACCATAGACCCATCACACTAATTATTCACACTCAAACCATAAAAATTCCATATTTAAATTGTGTGCACTGATGGTGCACATCATGCATGATTAAAAAAAAAAACAACTTCCTCCTATATTTTGTCAATAGATGAAAGTGGTCTGGAAAATGGACAGCTCCATTAAATTTCACAGCAATGGGGGAACCTAAAGTGCATGCGCGGCAAGCACTGTGTGCACATTAGGGCTTCCTCATGGGAAAGCTTTGAATCAATGCTTTCCTATGGGGATTTTCAAGACACTGCACTTCCTCATGCAAAGTTCAAAGCTGTGAAACATCAGGAATCGCCTCTCAGCCACTAGTGGTGGAGTTAACCTTGCAATATAATTATTGCAGTTTTTCAGAAATATTTACATTAAGGGGACAGGGGCACATCATTCAATGAGATAAAGTAGTCTGGTTTCTTTAGTGTTCCTTTAAGCTGACAGACTATAGTTTATGGTTTGAGAAGGCAATTGGTATGTCTAACTTTTTTAAGAGCATGGAAACCAGCATAACTTCAAATCACCATTCCGGTTAATTGATAGTGAAGTGGGGTTTTGAGAATAACTCCTATTCACTCTCATAAGAATGCCTCTTGCTGCAGTTTATTTTCAGGTTTAGCTATTTACCCACTTGGCAGCATTGAGCTGATAATTGCCTTTGCTGAAGCAACTATGCGTTTTTGTGGTTTAGAAGCATATGGATTAGTTGTAGTTGGAGATACCGCTCCCTACATAAATATTTTTTCATTCTTCTTCTTATCGTTGTTGTTATTAAAAAAAATATAATAAAGTGTATATAGCTCATTTGCAAAATTATGTCTTTAAACACAATGTGGTTTTCCTTTAATAACGATCACTCTGTGTTTATTTAAATAGGAATCCAAGTTCAAAGAAACAGGTGTTATTACCCCAGAAGAGGTAAGTAGAAAAATGTAACATTTCCTTAATCATAACTTGTGTGTCCTGGCATGGATCTATGAATGTTGGTAAACTTGGTTAAATCAGATGCATGTGGATAATGGAAACCCCTTTTAAAGAAATAAATGCTTCACACTTGGTTGTCACCTGTACATTTTATTAGATTGAAATATTCAAGTTTAAAGTAAATGGTTCCAACTTCCAAATGCATGTTGGGTACTAGGTGGGGATGATACAATTATTTCAATGCTGTTGAAGTTTTCCATTTTCTCACCCCGAATGATTTCCTATCGTTGCATTGCAGCAGTCAAACCAAGCAGTTGTCATAGGTGGCCTAATATGCAGAAAGGCATGTCTCTGCATAAAATATACTTTTCACACATAACCCTATAGTAGTCCTTTCAGCTCCTTTCTTCAACGTTAGAAGCTCCTACCTAGACCACTTGGGTATTGTAATTCTGTTGCAAAGTATTTGCCTTTTGCACAGCACGTATAGCTTTTACATCGGAACATTATACTGCAACATGTGCATTGATGTTTGTGTAGCAAAATAATGTGAGTTTTCATTGGGTTTACATAATTAATGGGAATTAATGGAGAATCATGTCTCTATCTATTGATTCATGGTTTCTCACAGAGTCTGGCATATAAACCGACATTAATTACTGTATTACAGCTGTGCAGAGGTATTTCAGAAGGCATGATTTCTTTGTGCTTTTATGTGTGTTATATCATGTAGAGATTTGTCCCATTTGAGTGCAGTCGTAAAAACATGAGGAATACTGCAGGTGCATTGCAGCGATCCATGCCATAGTTGCTGTTTCAAGTTGTTTTAAAAGTGAAAAAAAAATTTTTACATTTAAAAAAAAAAAAATTTATTTTAATGCGCTTCACATGTAAATGTGGTCTTACTACAAACAGGGTCTTTACTCCGAATTAGATTTTAATTCCCGTGTCCACAGTAACTGCTTTGACTGTATGCACCTAATGAATGTATAGTTGCTTAATAGTTAGCAATACAACTGTTTTATAATTAGAAGTTTTTAAACTAACAAATTTATTTTAAAGAATTATTTTTTTATTTTTTTTAAAACAAATTCTTTTCTTTCTTTTTGCAAGTGTAAACTTGTTTGGGTAGGGCTTCTCTTCACCTACTTTTCCTGTATGTTATACGTGTTTTGTTAGTGTAAAATGTTTGTCTTGTTTATCTATTGTGTATGTCATTTATACAATAATGTAATAAATACAGTGTGTGTGTGTGTGTGTGTGTGTGTGTGTGTATATAAATTTTTTTTTTTTTTTTGTTCTTCAACAGTTTTTGGTAGCAGGTGACCATCTAGTCCATCACTGTCCTACTTGGCAATGGTGAGTATATATAATGTTTTATTTGGAAGACTTACTTTAATGGAATAATGTTATGATTACCTTTTATCTTTGCTGTACTTTTTCACAGTCACTAATAGCAAAACACTTGAAATTTCTCTCATGTTAAAATCACAATATAGAAAGCTTTGTCAGATTAACATTGAGTCACCCTAGACATTTCAGCTTGCCAGAGTGGTTTTAGGGTGAACTGCCTACCCCTATTGGCTTATTATATGCAAGTGCAGATTTCAAGAGAAGTCAACACTTTAAAAAAAAAAAGAAAAACCTCTTAGAAAGCAGACAGCCAGGAAGGTTTCCTGCCTCACTCACATTAATCTGTATGTCAAAGTAGAATGTGATTTTCATAGAGAAGAATTCAACAATAATACATATTTTATTTCTTATGTAAGTGGTGTACTTTTTTTTGTAATAAATCTGTGCAGTAACCATATTTTGATATTTTTGATAAATTCTTGCATTTCCTCTTTTTTTCTGATGAAGGGGAACATTTTTGCAATTCCCTATCCCTTTGTTGAATATATTTATTAAAGAACCAACACAAACTAATTTGTAAACAAATGTACAGCGGCTTAAAAATACATTAAAGAAAGTCATATCTGTTAAATTTTTTGTTAACATTCACAAAATGGTGATCTAAAGTAAGAAATTAAAATTTTATTGTTAATGTTAAAGATAAGTGGTCCCGTGGTCATGGGAGCCCAGCACACTCTTACCTTCCCAGCTCCTCTCTTCAGCTCCCCTGTCTAACTCTCGCGAGTCCCGCGGCCGTCAGAGCGTTGCCATTGGTTACCATGGCAACGCTCCACGCGGCACACAGGCCGCGAGAGTTGGACAAGGGAGCTGCTGGGAAGGTAAGAGTGTGCTGGGCCATCTCTGCACAGTCCATGCCACCGGACCACCAGGGAATGCCATATCCTCCCTCCCTGGCTAGGTAAGAAGCATGGAGGGGGACTAAAACAAAATTTTAAGATTTGTTTTGTATTTATACAAAAAATAAAAATTCTCCTCCCCTCCCCCCATTTTACACACTTAACATACCTACACAAATACTCACTGCACAAACACAACTACCCAAACACATTGCATTTACTACATACACACTGCATTTTACTATACACACACTACACAAACACACTGCATTTACTATACACACACTACACAAACACACACACACTGCATTCACTATACACACACACACTGCATTCACTATACACACACACACTGCATTCACTATACACACACACTCTGCATTCACTATACACACACTACACAAACATACTGCATTCATTACATACACACACTGCATTCCCTATACACACAAACACACTGCATTTACTATACACACACTACACAAACACACACACTACACAAACACACACTCTGCATTCACTATACACACACTACACAAACACACTGCATTCATTACATACACACTGCATTCCCTATACACACAAACACACTGCATTCACTATACACACACTACACAAACACACACTTTGCATTCGTTATATACGCACTACACACACTTCATTCACTATACACACACTCTGCATCCACTACACAAACACACGCACACTGCATTGACTAATCAAATACTCTCACTGCATTCACTACACACACATATATTCTTGAAAAAAAAAAAAATCTGACTGGCATATATATATTGTGTTTATTTATCTTAATAACAAAAAGATTTGCAAATAAATAAATAAACATATTTAGTTAACAGTCAATTTGTGTACAATAGTTTTTTTTGTTTTTTTTTAAATGGTATATATACTGAATATTGCTATTGGCCTGAAAGTTCACAGCTTATAGGTATCGGCTCTAAAATAAAATCAGTATTGGTCGATCCATAAAAGAAGCCTATGGTATGACCCCCATATTAGTATAAGGGTGGTTTATTACCATCCTTATGTCCCCACTTATCATGCTGTGCATGGTACATTTTACTAAACAAACTATTGCTAGGCAAGTCTTGTGAAAAGTGACACTATTTTGTTTTCTATGACCTGGCTTTCAAAGCTTGGGGAGGCATTTCTAGGGTCTTTTCCTACCTTGAAAGCTCATTATGCGTGGATTCCTCTTCTGGTGAAGATGTATGTAGTTGTACATGTGAAATAAAATTTGTATTCTTTGGAATTCAGTTAGCGCAGACACCTTTTTGTATTTGACTATCTATCTACCCTGGTCTAGAACCCGGTTATATACAGAATTAAAGCTTGTATGTAAGAATTGTGGCAAATATTGATTAAATTAGATATAGGTAGTTATAGATATTAATGCTTTTGATCAAAAGTTGGAGACCGCAGTAGAAAGTCATTGTACAAAGAGCCGCAGGGCTGAAACAAGTTTATTCTTGACATCGAGATAGTAAATGTTTTTTCTTTTACTATGGCATGCTGAGCTCTGAATAACTGTACATTGATGCTATGGTTTGCTAAGAGCTTATGCACTTAAAAATTTATGTGAACTATGCTTCTGTCTCTATCAGATGGAATGAACAAGCTGTCAGGCATTAAATAATTCATTAAGAAAATATTTCTCCAACACAAAAGTGATTTGAAATTGTTTCCCCAAATGTCAGTTAATTACTTTATATTTTGAGCCATATATATTAGATTAAACATTGAGGCATGTGGATAATACAGTTATTAACTACAGAGTGAACTGTCCGGAATTAAAAGTGAACTTTCAAATTTTAAGCCAAAATAAATAAAATAGTGAATAACCGTGATGATCAGTTTATTTTTATGTCTTTATGACTTATGACTTTTAGCAAAAGTTACTATAACTCTTATTTTTTTTATTTCAGGGCATCTGGGGAAGAAACTAAAATAAAACCTTACCTACCACATGGAAAACAGTTTCTTTTGACAAGAAATGGTAAGCCACTTTTATTTCGAAGTCACTTGTGAAAATATTTGTGTTGGATTCAAAATCAACTGTAAAATATGGGTTTGTTTGAAAATATACTCCGATGTTTTCAACACAGCAAGTTGCTTGAGTTCACTGTTGGCTTGCATGACACCTCACATCTCAGAGGGACGTTTAGATCACTGAATATTTTTAGAAGTCACCAGGAGAAAGGAGATCCATAGACTCTGTAACTTATAAAAGATTGCTCTTCAACATGTTGGCAAGTCAGACCTGTACAAATATCAAAATTATTTACTTATTATTCTTTTTATACAACACTAAAACTATTGCATTGTTTGACCACTGTCTGTTATAAATAAAGCACACCTTCACTGAGCTTGTGAAGAGATTTATTATGGATTGATTATTTTAATTTACTACCTATAGTGTTAGGAATACAAACACTTTCCTTATTCCAGCACTAATGTCCCTCGGCGCTGGATCAGTCTCCTCCACTGCTGACATAACGGCAATCCGGAAAAACTAATGTGCATACGCTGCCCACACATTAGGCCTTCTCCATAGGAAAGCATTGAATTAATGCTTTCTGATGGGATTTTTGAAGACGCTGGGTGTCCTCATGCAAAGCGTGAGACTGTGCAGCGTCATTTCTCTAAAACTGCAATGATTCACACTGTAGGGTTAAGGGGACAAGGACACTGCACCTTAACCACTTCAATGAGATGAAGTTGTCCAGGTACCTATAGCGTTCATTTAATATGAAAAGAGAAAGGGGTCAGTAAGCATGTGTAGGAACTCTTTGTTTAACCTTTGCTCGGGCCTCTTTGTCAGGGAAGGTGTTGGTGTTTAGTTGTGCACACTCCTTCTTGCCCACTCTTTGGGCAGTGTAGCACCCTTTAAAGTGAACAGCCTTGCATGCAGCTGACAATGAAAATCATTTATCTGTAACTCCGTTTTGTATAGGGTCTTTTTATTTAGGGTCTTTTGTCAAGCCTGTGTTGTAAGTGCAGTTGTAACTTAGGGCATTAATTAAAAACATAATTCAGGTGAATAGTTAAGTGAATTACAACTTGTATAAGGGATTTTAAAATTTGGATTTAAAAAAAAAATAATTTTTTTTTTCAAAATCTTTTTACGAAGAAGTAAATTTCTATACAGTGTTATTCACATGCAGCTAGTATAATCAACACATTGTGCGGTTTTATTTGGTAAAAGATATACGTCAAAAACAGACCAAAGGGGGGAAAAAAATCTAATAAAAAGTAAGCCAAAAATACAAATTTATAGGTGGTACATGGTCCCAGGCAGATTGCATAAAATTTCATCTATTTATCCTAATGATGTCTGGAGATGCGGTTAGGAACTGGGATCCATGTACCATGTTTGGTGGGAGTGTATAGGCTTGACGAACATTAAAACTCAATTACTTATCCTTATAAGCTCCCTTTAATGTTTCTCTTTAACATGGAATTTCCATCTCAAGATAGGTGTCAAAATTATCTATTAACCCATATATTGTTTGCAGTTAAAATTATGTATAGCAAGGGCATGGCAAAGTACTACTCCCATCAAATGGAAGGAGATTATGGAACAAATAGAATTCCAATACAGAATGGAACATAATTTTGTTTCTAATACAGGTTTGTGGATATCTTATGATAATATGTGGTTACCCTGGAAAATATATATAGAGATAATTATCATGACTCGACTGGTGTTTAAACTGGCCTCATGTCGACTCTCAACTTTGGTAAATTATTTTTTTTTATTTTTTTAACTTTTTTTTTTTTCCGTGTGTCTATTTTTGTTCTTGTCTGTATATGGGTAGAGCGGTAATGAGAAGGAGTAAGAAGGTACGAGATTACTGGGAATATTCATACAAGAGATCTTGATGCTCCTAATGTTTCCCCTCCTGTCTCGCTATTAATGTTTAGATATACAATTCTCTACACTCGTATTATTTGCTTTTTTTTTTTTTTTATCTACTGTAATTTTATCTAAAATCTGAGAATATGTATATACATTTTACCCTAACCAAATTTATATACTGTATGTTCTGGCGTATAAGATGACTTTTTAACCCTGGAAAATCTTCTCTAAAGTCGGGGGTCGTCTTATACGCCGGGTATAGGGTCTTTATGGCTGCCGGGGGTGCCCTGCGCCCCCATCGCCGGCCCTTCTAATGCTGCAGCCGCCTGAGCGCTATATAGAGAGCGCTCAGACAGCTGCCGCACTGCCTCTCTTCTCACCTCCCCTTCCCTGTGCAGAGTGGGTGGCCGAGCTCCTCTTCGTCCTGTCAGTCCGGCCGGGTACCGCGCGGTACAAGAGATTCAGTTACCTGTTCCCGGCCGGACTAAAAGGAAGTGCACACTAAGTGCTCACTTCCTTTCAGTCCGGCCGGGAACAGGTAACTGAATTTCCTGTACCGCGCAGTACCCGGCCGGACTGACAGGACGAAGAGGAGCTCGGCCACCCACTCTGCACAGGGAAGGGGAGGTGAGAAGAATGTAGGGAGAATTTGGGGGGAGGAGGGGAGAGTAAAAAGAATGGGGGGGGGGAGTAAAAAAAAAATTAGCCTCCTGTGTGCTAGACCAGCAGGCATGGATTATATGCCCAAACAGCCTGGCACATACCTGGACTTCAAATGCCATTTCAGATTCTCATTATTTAATGTCTTGCTGTGTAGCTCTGTCTGCTCACTGTACATCATGGCTAATTTTTATTTGGTGTGCATTGGAAGAGGGGTAGTCTTATACGGCGAGTATATCCCAAACTCTATATTTTAACTGGAAAAGTTGGGGGTCGTCTTATACGCCCAGTCGTCTTATACGCCGGAAAATACGGTATTGTATATGCTCTGTAAGAATATCTATTGTCTTTGTATAAAATGAAAACATAATGTTTAATTAAATACATATAAAAAAAATACAAATCTAATAACGGCAGTTATCCATTCAGTGATCTAGACTTTAATTGTGTTCAGCACCAATCAAATGCAGTTAGGTGTCCTAATATTTATTTGAATAATGGGTTTAATCTTTCTAATATTCAAAATTTATCAGAAAGAAGAGAGCAACTGCCACATTAACTGTAAATTTCTATAAAATTATACGACATTGCAAAATACCTTGGCAACCCAATTAACGCCTTTATTGTTTAATCAAGCAGTTTAAATTGAATTGTCCTTTCTTAGTGTAATTAGAGTGTTGCATCATTCTGTGAATCGAAGAAATTATTAAATCCCGATCTCATTAAAAGGTTATAATACCAATCCATAAACTAGATTAGAAGTATTATATGCATAATTTAAATATGTATCATTTACTTAAGAGGATAATTCATCACATCTCCGTCCTCAAATCTTCTAATTCTTTTGTATAGTTGAGTCTACCCATTAATCAGTAATCAAATCCATCTTTATGCTACATCTATGCCCTTTCCACAGAGAAGCAAGAACTCTAAATTATCTGGGGTGCTGACACAATAGTTTCAAGTTATGCTATGGAAGAATAAAATGCTGCTGCTGCTGGCTGGGTACTGTTTTGTCTAACATCATTGTTTTTGTGTGTTCTTTTTTTTTTTTCTTATTGTAATGTTTAGGCATGAAACATTTAACTAGCTTTGTATATGTCAGTAGTTATTACTATACATGTTTATGATCAACTCTTTTCTCAGTACCTTGCTACAAAAGATGCAAACAGATGGAATATTCAGACGAACTAGAAGCAATTATAGAAGAGGATGATGGAGATGGAGGATGGGTAGACACCTTTCACCATTCAGGTTTGTTTCGATACTCTCCAGTCTTTTTCTAGTCCTTTGCTGTCGAGTGTTTTATTTTATTGGCATTGTAAGCATGCTGCTGCTACTTTAGTTTGCACATATAAAAATAACTTTCATTACGTTTGTAAGTATGTCAAGAACTATTTTCATGTTTTTGCAATGCCATCATGCCAGAAGGTATCTGAAGGGAAAAAAAAAAATATATATATATAAATATATAAATATATATATATATGTATATGTAATAAGCATGTAACAACATGCTGCACTTTTTTTTGTGTGTGTGTAACAAACTGGTCAGAATTAAAAAAAGTTTTGGATGCTTAGTGCCAGAAGTGATAAACAAGTATACTGGACAATAAAAGATTAAGTGGCATATTAGAAATGCTGCATAACGCACTACATGGCCAAAAGAGAAAAGAAGAACCTCCGGTACTGCACTCTCCTGCTCAGGGCATCACAGCCGGAGACCAAAATGAAAATCAATTTAACAAAAATGATCAGACTTCGAAAATAAGGTGATTACATATATTGCTGTGTAAGAGATTAACAGGGACAAGCGTTGCCAACTAGCAAACAGGAGCCACTGAAGGTAAACAGGCCATCATCCCATGTAGACAAGTCCATTGTCAGCCGATTCCCTGGCTTGGGGCCTTGGGGGTGCAGCTGCAAGATGTAGAATCAGCCAGCTCCACTGAGCCATTTTTTTAAATTTTTTTTTTTTTTTGCTTCTTTGAATATTTTTTTGCTTTAGATTGGTTGAGATCACAGAGTGCATCTTTTGTAAGTTTTTGAATACTTGTGTCTTCTCTGTATACTTAACTTCTTGTACTATTTTTCATTATGTGTTATTAGGTGTAACTGGTGTCACAGAAGCAGTCAAAGAGATCACACTTGAGACACAGGTAATCTCAGTTTAATGAATAACATATTTTGTATTTACAGTAATGCATGTGATACTCTTATTACACATGCACATTTCTTTATTATTCTTCTCTGCTCTTCTGTAGACTGCACAGTCATATATTGTAGCTTATAGCTTAAAGGACCACTCAATGAAGTGGTCTGGGTGCCAGGTCCCTCTAGGGTTAACCCTGCCTGCTGTAAACATAGCAGTTTCAGAGAAACTGTTATGTTTACATATGGGTTAATCCAGCCTCTAGTGGCTGTCTCATTGATAGCCGCTAGAGGCGCTTCCGCGCTTCTCACTGTGATTTTAACAGCGAGAAGACGCCAGCGTCCATAGGAAAGCATTGAGAATGCTTTCCTATGGACTGACTGAATGTGTGTGCGCGCGCGCATTCAGCCGATGACATCCAAAGGAGGAGGAGAGGCCCCGGCGCTGGAGAAAGGTAAGTGTTTAACCGCTTCCTCCAACTTCAGCCCGGCGGGATGGGGGCCATGAGGGTGGGGGCACCCTCAGGGCACTATAGTGCCAGGAAAACGAGTTTGTTTTCCTGGCACTATAGTGGTCCTTTAATGCTGAGAGTTGAGTGTTTCATGCTAAAATATTAACGTAAACAATGAGAGCTGACCTTTCTACTTAATTATATTGCCTTACTTATAATGTGCCATATTTGTAAACCAGTTGCACTTTAAGAGTTCAAGGAATAGGATATTTCTGTTCCCTTTACCATACCACCATAACCTTGTTGAAAATACATTCTTTAAAAAAATAAAATATGGATTATACCTTGACAAACTAGGATTGTGGGAAATCTGAGAAAACTGCAGCCTTTGATGATGATGAGGATGAAGATGGTGAAGCAGCAGATATGGAAGGTGAGGGGTTTTCTTTTGTTTTACTGTATTCTCCTACATGAAAATTATTTTAAGCCGCTGCTTCTTGGTCCGCCCACGCTCCTCCCCGTCCTCACGTCATCCGGCGGAGGAGACGGATCCCGCCCGTCGGCGGGGGAGACCTGTGTGCATTAGACCTCTCCGTATGAAAGCATTGGGGATTTTAGCGACGCTGGAGGTCCTCACATAGCGTGAGGACGTCCAGCGACGCCATAGCACAGAAAACCTGTGCTATGAATCCGGAAGTGCCCTCTAGTGGCTGTCTAGTAGACTGCCACTAGAGGAGGAGTTAACCCTGCAAGGTAATTATTGCAGTTTATAACAACTGCAATAATTACAGTTGCAGGGTTATGGGTAGTGGGAATTGGCACCCAGACCACTCCAATGGGCAGAAGTGGTCTGGGTGCCTGGAGTGTCCCTTTAAGAAAGTATGCTATAGTTCCACCCCAGGTAACATGAAGAGATTTCTGCACCAACATACAGTATTGCCTTCAAGAAAATTTAACTAAAACAGTAATAACATGGGAAAGAAAAGAAACTGCTAAGAACCAGGCATAAAGCATGGTAATATATGATTTGGAGCCCATCACACCAATCAGCTGACTCCCATCATGGGCGTAACACATTCCCTAAAAATTGTGCAGTTGTGCAGGCTCGACAACTTCGATTTTCTGTGCTTCTTGCCGACACTGGCTTGTCTACCACCTACCATAGGGCATGCCGATGTGGCCTTCACCATCTTAGACGCACAAGGCACGCCAAGTCAGTGAGGGGAGTAGATGGTCGGTATTGGAAGTGTAGCAGGGAACGTAGCGGTGCCTGGGTCATTAGTGAAAAATATCATCCAGGTAGCAGCAGATGACTGCGGAAAATACTCCCAGACCGATCAATTGATTCAGGGTTCAATAAGAAATCTGTTAGTCCCAGATAGAGGAATCACTTTACTTTATTCGGAAATGCTTGAGGAGCTGTCAAGAAATGTGTCCGGTCGACATTACAGTCAAGCCCTGCCCCTTATTTTAGCAGTTTAACAACAACAACAGACAAAACAGGGATTCCTGGAGCATGCAGACCAGTCTATTGGCTGCTCCAAGATAATAGTAATTGTGCTCATGAATTATCCATAGACACCTGTTCAAATTTGGACTACATCACAAAATGTTTGAAGGGTTAAGTAGGAATTGGCTGTGCTGAATCTCTGTTAACCCTTCAGCACCAATGAATTGACATGTTAGCCCTAGTTACTGTTGGTTTTGTTTTTTAGCTTATGAAGAAAGCGGGTTGCTAGAAAATGATGAGGTAAGATATATCCTATACCTATTTTTTTCTGTTCAATTTTTTTTTTTTTTTCTTATTCTTATGTTGTGGCATCGTATACATGTGTTGCGCAAAAGACAAGATTTTCCACATCATTTTGTGATGTATAGTGACATGAAACCATGTAGTGTGTGTGTGTGTATGTGTATATGTGTGTGTGTGTGTGTATATGTGTGTGTGTGTGTGTGTGTGTATATATATATATATATATCACATTGAAGAGATGGTTTAGTTGGTAGGGGCATTAAAAAAAACAAAGAAAAGCAATAAGAAAAATAATACAAGTACTCAGAAGACATCGCACGCCTGACCGTTCATCTACAGACACTCGAAGACTCACACTTACAGGCCGCTTACTCTGTCATCTCCAGCTCAAAGGCAGCTTGTGATTTTTAGTAGGAGTGAGAGATACTTGCGTTCCGTGCTTAGCTGGAACATAAATATTCATACCAGCATTAAGGGCCCACATCAAGCCAGGCAATACTCCCCTATAAAGAGACTGCATGTCCAATAATGCTTCTAATCAGGACTCTTGTTCAAGCTCTCTTTAATCACACTCCCTCCCAGTGCTCTTTCAGCTTCCAACACATTAATTTTCACTCATATGGCCTGCAACCACTTAAAATTCCATTCTTGCTTAATAGAGAACAATAATAAAAATATAAAAACTAAAGACATAAAGGTTATAAAACATTAGTGTGTCGTTTTAGACCCTCGCGCAACGGGTCAAAAGTGCCTTTATGAAGACTATTTGGCTTCAGCTTCCAAACTGAAGGTCCAAAAAGGAAATGAAAAGAAAAAAGGTCATTCAGGATGAACTTTGAATTCAGATGAGCTTAACCCCTTAAGGACACATGCCATGTGTGACGTCATGATTCCCTTTTATTCCAGAAGTTTGGTCCTTAAGGGGTTAAAGGGGCACTCCAGGCACCCAGATCACTTCTGCCCATTGGAGTGGTCTGGGTGCCAACTCCCACTACCCTTAACCCTGCAAGTGTAATTATTGCAGTTTTCATAAACTGCAATATTTACCTTGCAGGGTTAACTCCTCCTCTAGTGGCTGTCTACTAGAGGGCACTTCCATGTTTATAGCACATGAAAAGTGTGCTATAATGTTGGTGGACGTCCTCACGCTATGTGAGGACCTCCAGTGTTGCTGAAATCCCCATAGGAAAGCATTGAAAGCATTTTTCAATGCTTTCCTATGAGGAAGTCTAATGCGCGTGCACAGACTTACTGTGGCTGTCAAATCCCAGACTACTTAATGCAGCTCCATGAGATGGTTTTTGCAAGGCAGGAGCTCAACAATCAGGAAGTAACCAGACAGATTGTCTGATTGTGTAATAATAAGGTAATTTTATAAAAGTGCCAACTTCTATTGAAATTTTAACTTTCTTGTAAAATGAAAGAAAAATTAGACATCCCCTTTACACATAAAGCACTTCATTCTTTAGGTGTGTGGAGTGTCCCTTTAATATAGCAGTTTTGGTGTGAAGATCATGCCCCTGCACTTTAATCACATACATGTTGATATGTGAGCTGTAGCAGGCAATTAACAGAGCAGGAAATAGGAAATTATAAATCAAGCAGTAATAAAAGCTAAAAAATTATGTTGGCTCAGTTGTGTGTGGGCGCGCGCGCTCGCACCAGCCACCGTAAGGGATTGTATTGCTAGGACCGTATAAGCAAAATTATTTAATTCCTAAATGACAAAAATTGAGCAGTGAGATTTAAGGGGTATACCAGTGGTTCCTCAAACCAGTCCTCATGCATCCCCCTATGTGTCCAGAATTTAGGGATTACCCAGTTTGGTACAAAAAAAAAAAACACCTTAGACACAACTTACCTTGATCCTTACTGGTAGGTGGGGGGGGAGGGGGGGAGAGGATGTGAGAATTGGTTTAGGAACCACTGGTGTATACATTCAAGGGACAATATAGTCACCAAAACAACTATAGCTTAATGAAGCAGTTTTGGTGTATAGACCACGCCCCTGCAATCTCACTGCTCAATTCTTTGTCATTTAGAAGTTAAATCACTTTGTTTATGCAGCCAAGCCACAACCTTCTGCATGTGACTTACACAGCCTTCCTAAACACTTCCTGTAAAGAGTCATCTAATGATTACACTTCCTTTATTTAATTTAGAATTTCTTATCTCTTGCTCTGTTAATAGCAGTCTCGAACCTGCAGGAGCTTCCTGCATGTAATTGAAGTTCAGTTTACAGAGCAGGAGATACAATTAAGAACTACTTAACATCTGATTGAATATGAAACTTTTTTTTTCTCCTTCATGCAGGCTGTCTGAGTCACAGCTAAGGGAGCTGTGGCTAGAGTTGCATGGACAGAGACAAAATTGATTTAACTTCTAAATGGCAGAGAATTACGCAGTGATATTTCAGGGACAGGATCTAGACACAGAAACTGATTAAGTTAAATTTGTGTTGGTGACTATAGTGTCCCTTTAAAACCATTTGATTATGGTAAAGTTGTGTTGGTGCTAAGAGTGCCCCTTTAACTATGCAGTAATGAAGATAAAATAGCTGGTTTGGAAAAAAACACTCTGCTATTGAGCCTCCATTTTGTAATTTGGATTCAATTGCTAAAATTCAGTGTTTTGTGAATAAACTTGAATGTGTATATTTAACATACTTTTAACTGATTGGTATTAAACATCTGTTAGATACAGTAAAATGTTAATTGCAATGTGGATGTTATTTATATTTACAATTAAAAACTCACAACAAAAGGAATCTTTGCTCAAATTCTTTATTTTAATGTAGGCAACTGTGGACACCAGCAAAATTGTGGAAGCCAACAAGCCAAAATCTGAAGTTGTGGGTGAAGATTCAATATTACAGACTAGAACTTATGATCTTTATATTACATATGACAAGTATTATCAAACTCCAAGACTCTGGTTATTTGGTTATGACGAGGTATGTTTTGTATTAAACCCATAGTAGAGCCAAATTGTTTCTGAAATCAATATATTTATGATCAAAATTTTCACGAGCCACTGGAGAGTGAAGATTTTAGCCCTGGCAAGTAGAAACTTACCTCAAAAACAATAACAGATTAAGTGAATAAATCCCTAAAATGAAACTTACCTCAGTTGAGAGTGTGAGCTGACCGTTTTAAGCCTATCAAAACACACATTGCTGGTATGAATTGGTATGACTAATGAAGAGTGTAATCTCTGCTTTACCTATACCTCCAGTGTGATTCTCATTCAAAATTAAATTGTTCTAAAATGGTTTAACACTAAATTGAGAAATAGCACCAGTGGACCCTATACATTACAACCAATTCAGTGATATTAAATTAATTAAGGATGATACTTAAATTACTTCCCATCAAAGGGTCAACACTTTCCCATCCTGACAATAAAGATTTAACCGATGATTTAGATTAGGTTCAGTCACTGTGGCCCCTAGTATTTTGTTAAGTATGTTGGATATGTTATGTAGGGAATACTGGTTTATTTTTATGGTGTTTGAATAATGCTTTTTATTATGATTTACAGCAACGCCAACCTTTAACAGTAGAACACATGTATGAAGACATTAGCCAAGATCACGTAAAGAAAACAGTGACAATTGAAAACCATCCCAACCTTCCACCACCAGCTATGTGTTCTGTCCATCCTTGCAGGTATCCCCTTTCTTACATTCTCAAGTTGTTTTGTATGTGCTTCACATAGCAGCATAGATACAATAAAAAAAACTGTGCTTGTTTGTACGGTATCGCTGCTAACATCCTCTAGCTATCAAAGAACTACTTGAAAGTGGTTTTTAGGTACACATTTTCAGTTTTCCTTTTTTTTTTTTTTATCTTCATCTTTCTCATCTGTGTGTTGTCAACTTACTACTGTATAAAACACTTGTAAGATTAAGTAGGTCTTGCATGAGGTACATAAATGTGTATAAATTAATCAATATTGTCTTCACCACAACCCCACTGTTAGACATGCAGAAGTCATGAAGAAAATAATCGAGACAGTTGCAGAAGGAGGAGGAGAGTTGGGAGTTCACATGTATCCTTTTTAACTTTTTCTATTATGTTTCATTTTATGTGCATTTCTTACAGAAGTTCTGAATAGACCGTGAGTGTATAAACTAAAGCTCGTAGAACCTTCTTGCCCTTTGCTTTGTTTAAATGGCTGTAACTTGACAAATTACATCAGGACTCATGCCAAGATTTTCTCTAAGATAATCTTGTTTCTCCTATGGCTGTCAGTTGGAATGATCATGATGATACTTGCAGCAGTTGTAAAATCTTTCCGAAGAGTTTTAAGAGAGCCCACACATGTCACTGTTGAGCTGTAAAACATGCATGTGCTACACGTGTTCATGTATAGATTTAGAGGGAAATTGTACGAACACTCTGTTGTTACAGACTGGGTGTCTGTGTCATTTGTTGTTTTTTTGATTTTGTTTTTTTTTCTTTGTTTTTATTTTAAGATACACTAAACCATGTTTGTATACCTAATGGTATAGTGTAAGGTTAAATTGTTTGTTTTTGGTTTGTTTCAGCTTACATGTCTTCTGGTTTTTCCTTAATTTGATATCTTCAGGTACCTTCTTATTTTTTTAAAATTTGTACAAGCGGTCATTCCAACAATAGAATATGACTACACAAGGAATTTTACAATGAACTGAAATCGCAACATATAAATCCTATAAAACATCCTGACATTTTAAAGACTGTCACATAAACATGTCTTCTTGGTTTTCTCATATATACAAATATGCAAACGTTTCTGTAATGTATTATAAGCTTCTTTGATTAAATTTCTGCATTTAAATGATTGATTGCTTGTTTTGTTTTTTGTTTTTTTCCCCCCATTTTACTACCATAACATGGCCATTGTGAGGGGAAAATATTGCAAATAACATGCATGCCAACTTTTTTTTTTTTTTAAACCATTCCAAGACTGGAACAGTTAGTGTACACTACCGTGTAAACTCTGTAACCGCAAAGCACATCAGTACATTTAATCACATGCATTCTCTTTGCCTCTATGTGACTGAGATAGAGGAGAGTATACAAAATTACATAAAATTCCCTAAAATAGCACTTACCTGTTTGATATTATTTTATTTATGTTTTTAAAACCCACAAAATATTTCTTTAGCACTAGACAAGGAACTGCTAGATTTAACTTTTGTTTAAAAATAAAAAATGTAATTTTCTAATATAATGCTTTTTAGCTGCTAAAACAGCCAATTTGTTCCTCAAGTGGATAGCTATGAAAGAAAGCATGTGTGATTTGCACCGATGATTTAAAGGAACACTCCTACTTGAAACAGAAACTCTGTTTTAACATTTGGAATGTTCCTTCCATCCCATTAGTGCCACACGCAGATAACTCCCTGTACCCCTGGCTGGGTACCTCTGCCAAACGACCACTTCCTAGCTGGAACAGGGGACAAACCGCAGCATTTCTGCCAACAGTCGCCGTGGCTTGACTGGGGCCCGTGAGTCGAATGGGGAATTAGCTCTAGTCCTTACAAGGACTTTCCCTGTTGAATCATCTGCAAGCTGGAACAGCAGACACAGGAGTAAATCTTCTTTCCATCCAATAACCGGAGGACACACAGTGTTGGAGTGTAGGCTGGAATAGCATTTTAATGGAGGCACACTGGCCTTTTATGCAAGTTTCCCAACAAGGGCGACACCCACGTGGACCTTGTTGGGCACAGGGACACAAAGTGAATAAACCAATAAAAACAGAGTCATACAGTGAGACCGTCCCATACACAAACAATAGAATCCCTCCTCTGTGCTCGGGAGATAATTGAATCAAAACACACACAAAACCCCATAAAAGTTACATTCCCTGATAGCCCCGATCTGGGTGAGCAACATATCCAAAAATCACCCAGATCGGTTCAGAAATTTCCTGGAAGTCATAGTTTTGACCGACCGCAAGCATGGCCCCATGCCCAAAACAGTGCTAACAGTCGATTAAAGTTCGGTAGTCTTTTACAGGTTTTCCTGCAGGGCCTATAGTCTGTGGGCAGGAGGCTGGCGGCAAACTCAGGTAAAAAGGGGCGTTTGCCACACTCCCCTTTTCATCCAGTGACAAGTCCTTTCTCGTTGCTGCTTGCTTTTCCCCTACTTATGTGGTGAAAAGTTGCACATGTGCTGAAATTGCTCCATATGAGCGAATCAGATGTGACATTTACCGAATAGAATACTTCTCATGGGGAAGCACTGAGTAGTACTGCCCTATAGAAGCTCTCACTTCCACTTGAATGATTGTTTAAATTCACAGCTTGCCTGCCTGGAAGGTTTTATATATATTTTTTTTTTTTTAAATCTGTCATTAAATTACTGATTTCTCTTGAAACTTGCACTTATATGATTTTGGACCAGGTGATTCTGTTAACCTTTATCGCTCTTCAACAAGCTGAAATTATTTAGGGTTTTGGAATGTCCATGTGACACATTGACAAAATAATCACTTATGTAAGCACTATCTTATGTACATGTTCAGAGCTGGGGAGCTCATGGTTGAAGGCCACATGACACAAGATTTCTGGACAGAAACCACTCTCTAAACTAGGGAAATGATGCTTCAGCAGGAGGGGCCAGGGATCTATAGTTCAGGAACACTCAGGCCACATTCCACCTTCCACCACAAAAAATAAAGCAAGCTCAGCCTAGTGGGAGAGGGTTTAGAAACCAGGCAGTTTATATTGAATTGAGAAACTATCCTTAAAGAAACAGTCAACACTCTGCACCCCTAAAGCATTTTAGCTTGCTGAAGTACTTTGTGAAGTTTGTCTTGTAGCTGTGGTTGCTATTGGAGGAGAGCAGAGGGACCTCCTGTGGGAGGTCCTTTCTGCTCTACCTTGTCAGTCAATGCCTCAACGTGGATAGTTGGGAGAAAAACCCATTTTAAAATAGGTTTATCTCCTAATCTTTACATTTGCTAGCACAATGTGTAGATACAACATTATGCTCTATCTAATGAGTATAAGTTATTTGGGGGCATGATAGGTGCCCTTTAAACAAACACAAAAAATGCTGCTTTCTACAAAGTATCTGACTAGGTATAATGAAATAAACACAATAATAATATAGACTGATAAGATACAGTTGCTGTCTTAGAAGAACTCAGACTGCTCTTTAACGGGTATACAGCAGTCAGACGATGCCTAACTAGGCCACTTCTGTAAGCTTGCTCTATGTTTACTCAGGAGAACATGAACACCGCCACTTTTGCACCATGCCGGCACAGCTTCAGCCAAGTGCCCTGATTCTCCAAGCCCAGTCACTAAACCCTCCATACCGCATAGCAGGGTTACTCCTATATCATAGAGGCTTCCGAGGTTGTTGACCACAGGCTGGAACCACTTTGAGCTTACATGCAGAGACACCATCTGAGGAATTGCATCAGCAGAAAAGGTGTAGATGTGTTTCATTAATACAGATACGCTGCCAAAAAGCTTCACATATAGCTTTGTATTTTCCCATGTCTGCATTATCATTCTTGATGGCACGGAGGCCATCTTGATGTTCCCTCAGGGTTTCATGGCACCGAAGTGATAGAGGAGTTGAAGGCCTTTCGACCAGCTTCCTTACCCACCACCCAGGACGACCCCCCTGCCGGTTCAAAAAGGGACGACGACGATGAAACAGTAGCTGTTCGATAGCCCCAAGCTCGGAGATCTGTTTTTTCTCCTATCCCCAAACACACAACGCTGTGTAGGCCGCATTCTAGAATTTTGTCCCTTGGGCTACAAGATAAGATTCTGGCTCAATATTAGGGAGCCCCACTTACTCCGAATTTTATTAGTGTTGATATCACAATTAGTGAATATGTAGTAGGAAGCTCTCTGTAGGCATGTTTGATATGGAGGTCAGGCCCCAACCACTAAGTTGTTTTTTTGTTGTTGTTTTTTTTCTTAATTTTACAAAAAGTGCAGATATCAATAGAACTTGGAACTTTTATAAACTTTTTGCTTGGATTTCAAGCAAACACGGCTTGTTAATTCCTGGTTTGGTAAGCTCAGTGGAGCTAAACTCAAGAGGTAGGCAGGGGAGGGCTGGCAGCCTTAGGCCTGGAGGGCAAAACCAGTCAAGTGGCCCATTGCACCACCAAATCAGTTCACCATCCATGCCCACCTTTTCCTGGTTTTATAACGGATATTGATGTTATGCTAATCAGTAGCTCTTTGCCATACCCGCTCCTTCACGGCTCCAGGCACTGCTTGTTGTGAGTGTGAGCCACTGTAAATTAGGGGCAGAGGGCACTTGCACTGCGGTAAAGATGGGGCTGGACAGGAGGAGAGTGCAGTGCAATCAGTGCACTCCCCTCCTGTGGGTCACCAGTAGACTGGTGCACCTGCCCAGGATCAGTGCCGGTGCAAGGATTTTTGCCGCCCTAGACAAAATAAAAATTTGCTGCCCCCCCATGTACATCACAATGCCCCACCCATATGAACTAACGCCAGTGCTGCACACAGTGTGTGTTTACATTAAAAAGCCTGCAGGGACCAGCTATAGACACCAGAACCACTTCATTAAGCTATAGTGTCCCTTTAATGTGAAGTACATTATAGATTAGTGTCACTAATAATATACTAGATTGCCTACTTACAAGCAGATGAGGATGATGATGGGCTGCAGTTTGGCTCCACTGGTCTGGTGTAGAACAGGATCTCTGGAGGCTGTTTGCAACTGTGGTCACAAAATTCAATGTTCTGGGAGAATTGGGAGCAGCTCCATTTTTTGGGGCCCCTTACACAGCTCAAGGTCTGGGCCCCAGGGCCTGATGGTGAGTATGCCCATAAGGCCCACTCATAAATTCCACCCACCCATGAGTTCGCTCACAGGGAGTGGAGTGTGTAGGGGATGTGTTATGTGTTATTGTAGAGGATCTAATATGTGTGCTTATGGTATGTAGTGTATAGGGTTACCAGTTTGTGCAGGTGATGTAGTGTGTTTATGTGTAGTGGAAGCAGTGTGTATTTGTGTATAAGGGATGTATTATGTGTTTCTGGTTGTGTGTAAGGGATGCATTGTGTGAATCTGTGTTTGTATGCATAAGGGATGCAAAGTGTGTGTCTGTATGT